CAATTACTTGCATGATTGATTGGGTGATTGAGATGTTAAGGGTTTGGATGCCAATGAGGTCAGTGACAGAATGCTTAAGCTACCTGGTATTAAAATCACTGAACACAAATATATTTGCAAACAGATGTAGATGAGATGGTCTTGTCTATATTAACAGAAATACTATCTAGCATGCAACAGTCATGAGAGGAAGGTGAAAGGTAGAGAAAGAAGAGATAGCTGCCTCAATTAAGTAGAGAGAGCCAGAGACACATGTAAGAATGGACTGGAGATTCAAGAGAGAGATGTTAGTGAACATAAACTCCCAGGCCATGCATGTGGACATTAGAGTCCTTTTTAAGGAAAGGAAGAGAGCCAGGAATTGAGAAATCAGAGGAGGGGATTAAAGAGTTAAGATTAGTTTTGTATAGAGCTAGTACGTCCGGAGACTTTTCAAAAAGAAACTATTCCACACTGGAGAAGTTGGTATGAATACCATGAATGTTGGAGAAAGAAAGGTTGAGGTGTTTGTGTTTTTTTTGTTGAGCTGGTTTAGGTTTATATTTTTTTGGTTGTTTATAGTCATTATGTGTTATTTTGGTAAGGAAAGGTCTAGGGTAGTTGTAGCAGTTGGTCATCTAATGTAACATGTGTGGGAAGGGAACTGGCATAGACTGCAACATAGTGTGGTTTTTGGATTGCCCACAGGAGGTGCTGGCAGGGGCACTCTTCCATGTGACATGGCACAGCAAGAACCCCAATATTATGTTGATCAGAGCTTCCTCTCAAGATGCTATGCAAGATTTCAGGCTCCTAACTGCCAGTTCAGAACAGTAACCAGACAACTGCCACCCCAGTACCCTCAGTATGAAAAGACATTGCCACTATCCATGCATATCACAAAAGATTCATGACAGCACCACTAGTAAGGCCTAAGAAAAGGAAAGGAACCAGGAACCACTTCCTAAACAGGAAAGAAGGGATGAGCCTCTACTCCTGTTTAAGAGGAGGAGTATGGACTGGGAGATAGGGAAGCCTATCTACTCCTATAAAAAAAAACAAAAACAGAAAACAATCCCAGATTTTACTTCCAGAAAAATCATTTCAAAGAATGAGCATTCAGATAATTTATTTGGCGGATTGAGCTACAGCCCACAGATGCACCAGCACAAACATGTATACATACCTGTGCATCAGGGAGAAAAAAATTATATGTGTGTGTAAAATAATTAAGTTTTAACTTAGTATAAGTCTGAATACCAACATTTTCAAATTGCATTCTCCTAATCCCCAGTCTGTCACCACCAAAAAGAAAAACTTCATTAAAGGCTGTGACCCCAATCAATTAACAATACATTAACATGATATCAGTACACATATATATATATATATATATATTTAAAAATCTGACAATAATGTAACAAGAGTTGATATGTGAGGTTACGCTAGGAATGGTACTGGCACTATGTAATCCAGTACTACCTTCCTGATGATCGAGTCATCAGTAACTTAACCAATTCTTCCACCAAGCTTTTACACTGAGGAGGGTGACTAGAAATATTTCTTAATATCTCTCTAATAAAAGATATTTTAAGCTGAAACTCACTTAGTAAATTTATCATATAAATATAAGTACATCCTGAAAATTGTGCCAATATTAGCTGGATACTAAATTTATTGCAAAAATGTTTAATTGCATAATAAAATCTGATACATAACCGTAACATATTTGGGAATATTCGAATAATCCAGAACCTATACTGGCAGCAAAACTGCCTGCACACAGATGGAAAATGAATTCAATAAATATGCAAAAATAGGAAGAGGCATTACAAATTGGAGATAGAAAAATCAAACAAGTACAAAAATTGAAATATCTGGGAAGTGTTTTATCAGGATGGAAGGTAATGAAGGAAAGCAGGAGGAAAGGATTAAACATCAATTGCCAGAAGGCAGAATTCATGGTTGCTAGCACAAGGAACAGCCCAACATGCAAATTACAAATTAAAGATAGCAAAATCAAACAAGTATAACAATTGAAATATCTGGGAAGTGTTTTATCAGGATGGAAGGTAATGAAGGAAAGCAGGAGGAAAGGATTAAAATTTTTAATTGCAAGAAGACAGAATTCATGGTTGCTAGCACAAGGAACTGCCCAACATGCAAATTACAAAATTAAAGATAGCAAAATCAAACAAGTATAACAATTGAAATATCTGGGAAGTGTTTTATCAGGATGGAAGGTAATGAAGGAAAGCAGGAGGAAAGGATTAAACATCAATTGCAAGAAGACAGAATTCATGGTTTTGTTAGCAAAAGGAACAGCCCAACATGCAAATTACAAATTAAAGATAGCAAAATCAAACAAGTATAACAATTGAAATATCTGGGAAGTGTTTTATCAGGATGGAAGGTAATGAAGGAAAGCAGGAGGAAAGGATTAAACATCAATTGCAAGAAGACAGAATTCATGGTTGCTAGCACAAGGAACAGCCCAACATGCAAATTACAAATTAAAGATAGCAAAATCAAACAAGTATAACAATTGAAATATCTGGGAAGTGTTTTATCAGGATGGAAGGTAATGAAGGAAAGCAGGAGGAAAGGATTAAACATCAATTGCAAGAAGACAGAATTCATGGTTGCTAGCAAAAGGAACAGCCCAACATGCAAATTACAAATTAAAGATAGCAAAATCAAACAAGTATAACAATTGAAATATCTGGGAAGTGTTTTATCAGGATGGAAGGTAATGAAGGAAAGCAGGAGGAAAGGATTAAACATCAATTGCAAGAAGACAGAATTCATGGTTGCTAGCAAAAGGAACAGCCCAACATGCAAATTACAAATTAAAGATAGCAAAATCAAACAAGTATAACAATTGAAATATCTGGGAAGTGTTTTATCAGGATGGAAGGTAATGAAGGAAAGCAGGAGGAAAGGATTAAACATCAATTGCAAGAAGACAGAATTCATGGTTGCTAGCAAAAAAGGAACAGCCCAACATGCAAATTACAAATTAAAGATAGCAAAATCAAACAAGTATAACAATTGAAATATCTGGGAAGTGTTTTATCAGGATGGAAGGTAATGAAGGAAAGCAGGAGGAAAGGATTAAACATCAATTGCAAGAAGACAGAATTCATGGTTGCTAGCAAAAGGAACTGCCCAACATGCAAATTACAAATTAAAGATAGCAAAATCAAACAAGTATAACAATTGAAATATCTGGGAAGTGTTTTATCAGGATGGAAGGTAATGAAGGAAAGCAGGAGGAAAGGATTAAACATCAATTGCAAGAAGACAGAATTCATGGTTGCTAGCAAAAGGAACAGCCCAACATGCAAATTACAAATTAAAGATAGCAAAATCAAACAAGTATAACAATTGAAATATCTGGGAAGTGTTTTATCAGGATGGAAGGTAATGAAGGAAAGCAGGAGGAAAGGATTAAACATCAATTGCAAGAAGACAGAATTCATGGTTGCTAGCAAAAGGAACAGCCCAACATGCAAATTACAAATTAAAGATAGCAAAATCAAACAAGTATAACAATTGAAATATCTGGGAAGTGTTTTATCAGGATGGAAGGTAATGAAGGAAAGCAGGAGGAAAGGATTAAACATCAATTGCAAGAAGACAGAATTCATGGTTGCTAGCAAAAGGAACAGCCCAACATGCAAATTACAAATTAAAGATAGCAAAATCAAACAAGTATAACAATTGAAATATCTGGGAAGTGTTTTATCAGGATGGAAGGTAATGAAGGAAAGCAGGAGGAAAGGATTAAACATCAATTGCAAGAAGACAGAATTCATGGTTGCTAGCAAAGGAACAGCCCAACATGCAAATTACAAATTAAAGATAGCAAAATCAAACAAGTATAACAATTGAAATATCTGGGAAGTGTTTTATCAGGATGGAAGGTAATGAAGGAAAGCAGGAGGAAAGGATTAAACATCAATTGCAAGAAGACAGAATGCATGGTTGCTAGCAAAAGGAACAGCCCAACATGCAAATTACAAATTGGAGATAGCAAAATCAAACAAGTACAACAATTGAAATATCTGGGAAGTGTTTTATCAGGATGGAAGGTAATGAAGGAAAGCAGGAGGAAAGGATTAAACATCAATTGCCAGAAGGCAGAATTCATGGTTGCTAGCACAAGGAACAGCCCAACATGCAAATTACAAATTAAAGATAGCAAAATCAAACAAGTATAACAATTGAAACATTTGGGAAGTGTTTTATCAGAATGGAAGGTAATGAAGGAAAGCAGAAGGAAAGGATTAAACATCAATTGCAAGAAGGCAGAATGCATGGTTGCTAGCACAAGGAACTGCCCAACATGCAAATTACAAATTGGAGATACCAAAATCAAACAAGTATAACAATTGAAATATTTGGGAAGTGTTTTATCAGAATGGAAGGTAATGAAGGAAAGCAGGAGGAAAGGATTAAACATCAATTATATCATGGATTGAATATGTAAGCAGCAACAAAGTTTTAGAAGAAATGAAAACAAAAAGGATACTTATACTTAATATCGGAGAGAGAGAGTTGAAATTTCTACAGAACATAAAGAGGAAAGTGAACTTGGAAATTTCAATACTCACAGGACAAATTGAAGGCAAGAGGAAAACAATGCATAACTTGTGAGCTTGGGTAAGTGAATGGTAGTACAGGGTTTAGGAAAGATAGCAAAAGACTAAATTTAGTAAGAACTACAAATGATAAGAAATTGTGGAGAGCCAACATCCTGAAGGGATATGGCACATAGAAGAAGATTCTGTGGTCATTATTACTTTCTTCTCGGAGTTTATATATTGCTTATATAAGGTATATTTTATATTTGATAAATTGATTGTCTTCAATTTTAATAATTTTAATATCAGTTTTACCAATCTTTTATTGTATTCACCTAACTTGAAGAGAACAAATATCTTTGTTCCCAACTCTCAACATGAACACAAAAATATCAATTTTCATTTGAGGTGACCGAATAGAAAAATGACATTTACTTTAGCTGAAAAGTTGATTCCTTTTCCAGAAGTAACATGAATTTTGTCCATGAATTCCTCAGTTCTCACTCCTTCTTCACCTTTGACACTCAATTTGGTGAAAGACTCCAAGACAATGTCATTCCATTTGGTTCGGCTTTTCATCTGAAAGAGAAGAAAATCAGTTTAACCTATGCGATCTCTATATAGTCCAGTAGATAGCAACACAGCAATATTTTCAAAGTACATTTTTCATATATTTATTAATTTCTACCACACAACACTAAAAATAAATTTATTCAGCATTGCTTAGATAAATGTTTTAATTTTTTTTGTGTTTTAACAGAAATGGCATATTTTAATATAAAACTTATTTTTCAAATATTTAATTAACAGATCAACAGTTTGATTTAACTTAAGCATAGAAAATTGAAATCATTTGGTGATTCCGTGTTAGCAGCTAGCTCAATTGTGTTGGCTCATGCCTTTCAGGGATCTCAGGGACAGTGATAAGAACAGAGAAACCATCTTGTAATGTGGTACCTGATTTCATGTACTATTGGTACTAGCTGTTTTGAAAGCTAGTAGTTTGAGTTTTGACACCAGTTTATGAATAGTTTAATGTTAAAAAGTTTCATTTTATGATATAGAACTGAAGGGAGAGTGAGAAAAGAATGATGGCGTTTAATGATTATTGGAGTTAAATATGAAAGATAAAAAAACTTAGTTAATTTCAAAAAATTAGAATCAAATCCAAATATTCACTTGCAAATAATTTATAACTGGGTATACAGCCCTTTACCTACACACTCATCAAGTTGAACAAAAATGATAATAACAAGTAATAAACTACTTCCTTGTCTGAAATAGAGAATTATTTCTAAAAACCTTTGAGATCAATTTGTTCATATAAAGACCAGGTGGGTTTTCATTGGCAGAATAGTTTGGGGGGAAAAAAGCTTTAAAAAAAGATGGTCAACGTGGTCTGTTTATATTTCCATTGTCTTATAGGAAGAATAATTTTCAGGAAGTTTATCAGAATTCGGCTATCTAGTTTGGGGCTTCTCAAGACAGATAAGACTTTGCCTTGCCCATAAAGAAATACATAAATAAAAAATTAATTATAGTGTCTAAAATAATTATAATAATTATAGCAATTATTCTTAATTCACTTTTTTAAACCAACGAGAATCGGCCACAATTATCTCCTCTACACACACAAACATGTCACATTCTCATTATTGGACAGACTGTCAACACAAACTGTCAACATGTGCATCAACAAAACCTTTGGCTCCTTTTCCTTTTTCAGGCCATAATAGTAACATTTATTTTTTAATACTCAACAAAATTTGAGGTAAGAAAATCCCAGAAACTTCAGGTATTTTTCCAGCTTAATTATCTGGACACTCATTACACGCTAATATTTGTCTATATCTCTGAGATGAAGTATTATGATTATTTATATTATTTGGACTTTATCCTCTTTTTTTATTGCCATATTCACGACATTTTGATCGTTGTATACTCCGGCCTTCTTAAGGTGTTAGTAATTTTGAACCAAGCTCTTTATTTCTGGGCCAAGGACACATGGCCCAGTGGATAAAGACGTTGGTTAGATCCAGTGACTATACCCAAAGAGTTATAAGTTCAATACCAGGCTACAGCAGTGGTGAACCAAAAAACTTGAAGAGTTGAGTTAAAGGGAAATAATTGAGGCATCCAGAAGAAGCATGGCATGTGGAACTAGAACAATCTATCCTGTTGGACGAAATAAAGAGATTAGTTTAAAACTCCAATCACCTGAAGAAGACCGAGGCATACAATGGTTGATACGTTGTGAATATGCCAATGAAGATTAGAATAACAGTCTGAATAATGTAAATACTCATTACACACATCTATAAAAAAAATCATACGAGAAAGACTATATACACTTTGCTTGTTCTTTATCTTATCCTTTTGTCAGATTCTGATCCATATTTGATTTACATTTAATGCCAAACTCATAATTTTACTCAGCATTACCGTCTCTCATTTTTCCAACACCACATAACAACGTGATAATAAATAATACTCGTTTTGTTGTTCCTACGTCTTGCTGGTTCTAATTTTTATGAGTATTTTTGTATATATAAATGTTAGGGTATTTATAGTTATTTACTCAGAATTATAACCCCCCCACTACAGACTCTTGGGAACAAAGTAATTGTCAAATAGTGAGAAACTGGTGGGTTGAGCTTCCATATAAACAAATGCACATGTGCACTTGAGAGAGAAGATACCAACAGTGAGGCAGAGACATCAGATACTGGCAGAGGCTAAGGCTTCCTGAGAGAAAATACTGAAGTTCCAAAAAGAAAGTCATAATTGTAGCTATAAGAAAAATTAGACTTTCAATCCCAGCTTTTGGAAAATTGAACAAAGAAACATATTTGACTGTTGTTTTATCTTCATCATTGTCAATAATTGATTCAACCTGATTTGAATTGGACAAATGAAAGATGTTAGTTGTAAGATCAATGTAACAAAAATAAACTACATTTTGTTAAGAATCATGTTACATTATTCCAATCTCCTTCATCAGCATTCCACGACTTCACTCTCAGAAAATTGTTAAGTTTAGGTTTATGTTACAAATGGCTGGCTAGGATTTGCAACATTTCAACCCTGAACTCGAGGCTTCTTCTTAACACATTATGGGTTGAGGAGTCTCCTGTCTTGGATATCACTGAACCAGTGACCAGAACACAAGCCTGTCTGTTCTATTTGGTAGCCATGTTTGGAGCCATCGAAGCCATAGTGTTATATTTCATCACTACTATTGGAATTATCCCATCTATAAGGTCACATATGAGACCAGTGTATTTCATTCACTTGGCTTAATCAGCTCTGTTAACAGTCAAGTCATACATGGGAATGTAACCTGCCAGCTTGTCACCAATGATGTATTAGTAGGATTTGATCATTAATTTATATTACTAAGTATCTAATTTGTTATAGAAAGCACATGATTAACCAACTACTTAGCTAAATTTTGATAACAAACTTCCTGAAAAATTTTCTTCTTATAAAACAATGTAAAGGTAAACAAACCACATAGTCCATTGGCTTTGGCAAAAACTTTATTTTATTTTGTTAAAAGCCCTTTTTTTCCAAAATTATTCTGCTAAAGAAATGCCATCATAATGATAGGTTTTTATATAAACAATTTAATCTCAAGAATTTTTAGAAATAATTTTTATTTTAGCTGAGGGAGTAATTTATTTATTTCTATTATCATTTTTGCTCAATAGGGGTAAATGTAACAGAGGTAACTAAAAATAAGATGAGCGCAACACAGGTAACTAAAGAGTTCCAGCCCGTTATACAAAGATCTCTCTCCAAATTAATATTTGAGTTTGATTCCTTCAGAACCCATCTAAAATGGCCAACTTGTGTAGGTGGGAAATGGTCACCTGTATCTACAGCTGAGGCATTTAACATGACTAAATAGGAAGATGATCAATTCCATGGGATAGTTACTTCCACCAGAGTTCAGTTTGGACAGTTCTAGCTGTTGAGTCCACTTTGACAAGGGTCTGCCTGATTGCCTTCTTGAAACTGGCATGGGTTAGGAGAAAATGACCATAGTTTTTAACACAGTCAAAACAGTATTCTCTTTTACTGTAAGCATGATACCCACAAATAGTCTCAATGAATTTATAACTGATATGATTATCATAAAACAATCTTGTTTCTCTTCTGCAATATTTTTGTATCTCTGTGTAGAATTACCTCAAACTTACAAATAATTGACGCCTCTCAGAGAATGTACCAGGTTTACTCTAGGCAGACTTAACAACGTACATGGTGCAGATGACACTGTTATTGACAAATTGAGAAAGAAAATTGAAAGAACTGTTAGACAATGTCATTGTTGAAAACAAGAAGAAAAGACCAAACATTAGCTTTAATAAAACAATGTGTAGTTGTCAGCAAAAATAGACAAGCCAAGATTTGAGTTACACATTGGAGATGTCAGAATCAAGCAGACATGGAAATTCAACTATCTGGGTAATATTATTTGTAATAGATAACAGAAAGTGTGAAGCAGAAACTAAAAGGCTGACAGATATAGTGAAAAATACTTTTCAAGTATTAAAGGATTGAAAAATAACATTAAAAATAAAGAAGAGTGTGTAAGACTGCTCTATGGTGTCTACCCTCCTAATATTTGCCAGTGAATACTGGACAATTTCACTACAAAAGAGAAAAGACTTACAGTAACATTGATGAGGTTCTACTGACAAATATTAACAATACCATGGACAAGACATGTGAGTAATAAGAAAGTCTTATGGAGAATAGAAACTATCAAGAAACTGTTGATGACACTGAGAAACAGAGAACTGAAAGTTTCTGGATATATAATGAGGGTGATAGCCTTGGAGAATTTAACACTCACAAGATATATCAAAGACAAGGAAATACATTTTTAGCTGACTGAAGCAGTTAGTGTTCACTTTGCACTAATGCTTGGGGAACTCTCTTAATCAATCAATCAATCTGCATTACATCCCATCACCCAATCTCTTGTTAAAAAAAAAGTATTGTTCCTTGCATGTCACAATAATTGTGTTAGGAAATTGGATGAATAATAATTTAAGCAAAACTCCCTCCCATAACTACTACTTGGTAAGTTATAACTGTAAGTGCTTTTGTTATAGTCATTGTCAGGTTTGACCAGTGTGTATATTCAAATTCTGCAGTGAAACCTGAAAATGTAAAAAGCCATAAAAAATTTTTCCTGTAGACTTTATCTCCATATACTGTTGTTACATGTCTACAGTAAGAGAACCAAAAAGGTCACCAATGTGTAAAAAGTTTGTACTTTATCAACTAATCTAGAAAAAGAGATTTTTGTTTTATTATTTATTTTGTTTACCTACCATGGTGGCCTCAACAGATTCTGTGAGTAAATTCTTGGGCTGCTGGGGAAATGACCATTCCACTTCAGGGTCAGTTGAAAAAATGACATCTCCAGATTGGGTCATAAAAGTGAGTCCATCAGTTATAAAAGTCGTGTCTTTTTCATTGACAGAAACTGAATAGAAAAATTTTAGATTTAGTTTTAATGTAAACATTAGAAAACAAAAAAAGAAATTCTTACTTTACTCCCAATTTTCTAATGAAATTACTTACTAAATGACCCTTCATCTGTTCCCATATGTATCTGAAAAATAGAACAAATATTAATCAGTAAGAAAGAAGTAAGGATGTTTGGATAATAAATCAATAATAAATGTATTATTCTCATCTCGGTATCTATGCTGATGACACAACTATTTACTCCTGTCTTAATATTCAATCTGATCAATTCAATAAGGTCAAATCGGCAGCTCATCTCACAAATGACCTACAATCTGTTATTAACTGGGGCAAGAAACGGCTTGTAAATTTTAACACCTCTAAAACAAACTGCTCTCTTTTAATCATCTGAAAGAACTGTTTTTGTTATTTCTAGATTTGCTGTTAGGAGAGTTGGTTCACTGTCATATTAGACAATTTTTCTAGCCAAAAATTATCATTGCTCATTTATCTATACATATCTATAAGTCTACCATTCATTCATGCATTGAACATTGCTGCCATATCTGATCTGGTGCTTCTGCTATATATTTAGAGATTCTTGATAAAATCCAAAGAATCTGCAATGTTATTGGCCCTGACCTGGCATCTCAGCTTCAATCACTTTCCCACCACCATAATGTAGCTTCTCTTTGCATTTTCTATAAATACTTTTGTGGTAATTGTTCTGATGAACTTTCCTCTATGATACTTAGATTTTATGAATTTAAGAGCAGTACTAGATTGGCAGCTATGTCTCATCATTTTACAGCTTAAATGTCTAGATATAACTGTAAGTTCTATGCTAACAGTTTCTTTTCGCACTTTAGTCAACTTTGATCTTCAAAAATTAAAATGCAATGCCAATCGTTATCGTCTGTCTTCTTCATTCCTGTTGCTATTGTTCTCTCGCTTTAGTGTCTTTTTTCTCATATTCTTTTGATACTCAGGAAATCTTGCATCTTAGTGGCTTTGTTACCTTTCCTGGGGTGAAATGATTAAAACAAAATAAACAGCAGAATGTAGAACTTGAGTTCATTCTTTGTGCTGCATATATTGATACAATAACATTTCAGTTAATCCATTATCCAGTTTTCTTCAAATGTGCAATAAAGAAAGTATTAGAAGAAGCTAATTTATTTTCCCTATAAAGGATGATAACTCAAAATACAATTGTCTTCCCTTGTCTGGAAGACGAGCATGGTACATCTGAATTAAACATAGTGACAAGCTAACATGCATGTGGAATTCATGGTTTCAATCCAAACAAATCTTTTCTGTTCTCAGACAGTAAATGAATAAAAGTTGTTTTATTATTTGTTAAAATACATTTGTCTTTTATTTTCATTTGTTTTTGTTCATCCTAATAACCTGGGATATAACAGAAAAAAAATTTCTTTTTTACAGAAAGAGTGAATAGAAAATGGTTGCTTGGTGCATACTAAAAAAATGGATGCAGAATGGATAGCCTGACAGGCTGTAATAACAAAATAAGCAAGACTAGGAATTGTTCAAAGATGTCTTAGACTGATAACTTTCTTAAAAATTACAGACAGTTTATAATTGGCATGTTCTGGTCAGTTTAAAAAATAAGTTTAATTGCAAATCTCTTACAAAGTTGACCAATGATCAGTGTTTTAACTTACCATGTTCTGGTCTGTTGAAAAGACAAGTCCACCACGAGCTCTGCTACCAAGCTGACCACTGATCAAGGTTATATTTGGCAGTGTGCTGTCTTTGAGGAATCGCAACAAAGTGCCACCAAGGATAAATTCCAAGGATTGAAGGCCAAATGGTGTAAGTTGGAGAACTGCCATCAAGAGACCAGTTATCTGTAAACAGTGAATATATATCCATGCTGAGAATGTTACAAAATTGCCCTGGGGAAAGTGATAGGTTTTTAATTGATTTACATAAAAGGTAAAGTTTATACAGGGTTGCCCAAAAATCAAGAAGGGGTTTCAAAATTTAATAACTTTTGTTTATTAACTTTTTTGTTTTCTTTCAGGTATTTTATAAAGAAGACTTTGGAAATTAATCATGTAAAAATATACAACTGAAAAATGAACACAAGTAGTGGAATCTTTCTGCCAGAATAAATGATGAATAATTCAAGTGCAAAGCATAAACTGGTTACCATGTTCCTCAGATCTCAAAAGCCATGATTTCTTTTTTTATCGGACTAAGTCAAATAAAAGGTTTATGTCAACAAGCCTCATACTGTCCAACAACTGAAGGAGAACATTCAGAGAGAGACATCATATCATGAGAGTGCCTGAAAAACCAATGGGCTGTGGTGGAAAATGTCTTAGAAAGGACATGTTCATGTGAAGCTGAAAATGGATGTTACTTAAAAGATGTAATCTTTCTCAACTAGTGTAAATTTATTTCCCATATCTATTCTATTTTAATATATTTTCTGTTTACATGTTATTTTTATAGATACAATCATTTAATTAAACAGATTGTTGTTGCCACACCAGGATAAAATGCTCATTAGAAAAAGGATCATATTTTATTAATAAAACCGGATACAAAAGTATCACAGCGATTAAAATTTTAGGTACATTTTGGCCGACAGAATGAACAAAATAGTTGGTAATAAAACTAAGAAATTGAAAAGAAAAATTATTTTCAATTTCTGATGTTAAAAAAAAATTACCAAGACTAGGGGAGGGGAAACAAAAAAAAAAAAAAAAAAAACCATCTTCCTAGTTAGGCATTGAATTAACGATCGGCTCCCTGAATAAAGCCAACTTATGCTTTAACTCTCTCTGCCTACACAGGGAAGAACATTGTTTGCTTTTTTTGTTTTCCATGTCGACAATATAGTAAGTATAGTTGTCAACATGAAAAACAAAAAACAAACTTTTAGTTATAAAGGAATTTAATATTAACCAAAAAGAGGAGCGTCACTCTTTTTTAAATTTTGGATTTAATGTAACTATGACAACAAAAACATTTCACTTTCATAGTTTACCTTGATAAAGTTGGAAGACGAAACATGTCGGCAAAAACTAAAATTTTTCCAATTATCATTCTTATATATATATATATATATATATATATATATATGGGAAATATTATTTACTAAATGGATGAGAAAGTGATAAAAATGCCACATGAAAAAAACTAAGTGGTTTCATTCTATAAAATCCATGAAGAAAATTTTATGAAATTACCGCAATGTTGGCAATGGCCATTGTTAAGAGCAAAGCAACAAAACAGTATAGAAGATTCTTCTTGCGGCCACGAATTCCTGTTTTGTGCAAATATTCCTCATTGATCTGGATATAACCAGCACGGAAATTGGTCCGGTGCTCATTATTGATGTGTTGTTTGCGCTGAGATTTTTCCAGCATTGACAAACTCTGGCTAGATGAGTGGTTCTGCTGTAAATAAAGAAACAAAAAATATTAATCATTTCCTTTTAATGCTATAATTAGTTTTATTGATCTTTTGTTTTCTCCCTTCCCACAATATAAGGATGTGCAGATGTTGATAACCCATAAAAAATCAAATCAATCATTCAATCCAAAATGTAAGGACATTTGAAAGAATAATTGGTTCTAATTTTTTTTTTATCACTTCACCTTGAGCAAGGCAATAAAGTCACTAAGACACAAGAGGGTTACTAAGTGTTAGAGAATATGAAAAAACAAAAAGAAAATCCTATTAAAGAGAGAGGACAATAAAAAAATAAGAATTAAGAAGACAAAAGATAATGATTGGCATTGCATTTATATCTTTGAAAATCAAAGTTGGCTGGAAGACAGTTCCACAAATGAGAAGTGTAATAGAATAAACTGATAATACAGAACTTGCAGTTACATCTAGCCATTTCAACTGTAAAATCATGAGACCTAGCTGCCAGTCTAGTACTGCACTTAAATTCATAAAATCTAGGTGCAGTACTGTAAAAATATAAAATATAAGAAAAGCTTTTGTATAAATTCAATTGATGTTTCTAAGTTAGTTGACATGTTAAAATTATTCAATTTGGTTATCTTTAATTTAAAAAAAATAACAAAAATCACCATGTATGTACGTATTGAATTTTCATATTCATTTTTTTTTTAGATGTAGTGAAAAAGCAGCAAAGTTGGTCAGCAGATGACCTTAGCAAAAGTAAAGATTCTTTCCATCTATAAATGTTCAACATTTCTTTTTAAAAATAACAGTGGCTAAATAACAGATTTCCTTGTAATAAAATCAACTGAAGGAGATTTGGTTTTGGATATCAAGTTCCACTGACTAAATCATATGTTGTATATCCTGAAATGCACAAGATAAGAGCAATAAAACTATTTTAAGTAAAAAACTATACAAGGTGCAGCTATTAAATAAGAAAACTGGACTTATCTATGTCAAACAAAATCACACACACATGAATCACATGATTTACTTTGACCAATGAATAAGCATCAACAAACCCTGAAGTAATCTATCTCCACTCATGTCTTTAGTTCATTCATGTCTTTTACTTGATGTTGACTTTTTTACTGAAATGTTAAATTTGTTCATTTAAAAACTGAATGAAGAATGCTAATCATTAACCAACCAAATATCCCAACTTTGCATCTAAGACACAGGATATGTTTTTTTAAAATTTTTTTATAAAAATATAAAAAAAAAAAAAAAAAAAAAGGATTTTTATATATTTTTGTAAATTTTTTATATATATATATATATAATAAATATGGTATGAGAATGCAAGTGTGTGTGTGTGTATGTATATATATATATATATAATTTTTTTTTTTAAAAAAAACTAAAGAACACTACATTATTGTTTTCAAAAATAAACATATGCGATGTTGGGTGTAAAAGGGAGAAGGAGGATGTGAAGAAGAAGGAGAAGTGCATATGAGGTTGGATAAAAAAAAAGTAATTTAAACCCCCCCCCACCAATACATTTGCAATATATTTGCTTCCTTCTTCTTTCTTCTTCACATCCTTCTTCTCACTTTTACACCCAATGTAGTGGGTTTGTTCATTTATTTTTGAAAAGAATAATGTAGTTTTCTTTAGTTTTAAAAAAAAAAAAAAGCGTTAGGTTGTCATTTGCTAAAAAATTGCCTGAGGATACTGTAAGGTTGAAACCAAGATAGCGGATTCAACTGACCTCCTGATGTAATTTTTACTTTTGTTTTTTTACACGTGTATTGAGCACTTTTTAATAGCACTGTTTCCTGGTCTGATTATTAAACTTTTATGTAATATATATATATATATATATATATTTCCAGAATCTATCTTTCATATTTATAAGTCTACTATTCATCCATGCTTAGAATATTGCTACCAAATTTGGTACAGTGCTCCTGCTAGATATTTAGATATTTTTGATAAAATCCAAAGGAGAATCAGCAATATTATTGGTCCTGCCCTTGCATCTCAGCTTCAGTCACTTTCCCACTGCCATAATATACCTTCCTTGTGCCTCTTCTATAAATCCTTTCATGGTAATTGTTCTATGGTACCTAGACTTTATGAATTTAAGCACAGTACTAGATTGGCAACAAGGTCTTAAAATTTCCAGTTGAATTAGCTAGATGGAAGTGTAAGTTCTATGCTAACGCTTTCTTCTATTGCACTTCTTGCTTGTGGAACTCTCTTTCAGCTCTAGGCTTTCTAACTTTGATCTTCAAAAATTTAAATACAATATCAGTTGATATATACTGTCCTCTTGATTACGCTTTTTGTTCTTGCTCCTTAGTAATGTTTCTGTTTCTAATTCTTCCATACTCAGTAACCCCTTGTGTCTTAGTGACTTTACTATCTTGAGCTGAATTTGATTTTAAAAATATATATAGATATATATACTGGGTGTAACAGTAAAATCATCCAAATCATGTTACAGCATAATTATCCATCCCACAAAATGTTTAATATCTAAAAAACCACTAATTGAGTTTTTTTTTTTTTTTTTTTTTTCAATGTTTTCAGATAAGACATTTAGCCATCTTGAAACCATTTTTCATAAGAATCAATAAAAAACCCTTTGAATTATTCAGTTAAAAAGAGAGCAGGTTAAAATTGTTTTGTGTCATACCCACTGTCTCCCCAACTGAGCAATGGTGAGAGGAAAAAGATCATTCAGGCCTTCAGCAATGGTACCAACATTCATACTCTGGCTTCCATCTTCAAAGTCCATTCAAGAACCATCAAGAGAACGGTGAATAAGTTTAAAAAAGAGGGAACAGTAGAGAGGAAAACTGGATCAGGAGGTCACAACAGGAAGAGGGATCATCATTTCAACTTAGAGCTAAAGAGATCAATTAGAAAAGATCCAACTCAATTCATAAGACGTTTGGCACGTGAGAGAGGAGTTTCAGCTATGACAGTCCAAAGAGCAGTGAAAAAAGACTTGAAAATGAAATTGTACGTGAAACATGTGAGGCACCTTGTTACTCCAGGACAGAAAGTTAGAAGGTTAGAGAAGCGTGAAGATCATCTTGAATAAGTTGGAAAATGATCCTGGAATATATATATATATATATATATATATATATATATATATATATATTTATATTTTATTTCAATCCTTTTATGAGCTTTTGATCCTTAATTAATTAATTAATGATGAACATGTCATTTTCGTTTATGATCGATTTCATCACAATTCTTCTGTTAAGCTTGGAGAGTAATTATACATTATGATTGCTCAAAGTAGAGTCCAATAGTGTAATAAAAACCTTAGAGAATTCAAGTAAGATAACTTTAATCATTTCTAAGATAAGCACTTATTCTAACAATTGGATAATTTTACTGTTACATTCAATATATATATATTGAATGTAACTGTATCTGTAGATATATATATATATCTAGATTCTTGATAGAATCTAAAGAATCTGCAATGGTCTTGACCTGGTATCTTGAATTCAGTCACTTTCTCACCACCCTAACATAGCTTCCTTAAGCCTTTTTTTTTTTTTTTTACAAATATTTTCATGTCAATTGTTCTTGTGAGCATTCCTCTTTGGTAGCTCAACTTCATGAATTTAAATGTAGTATTAGATTGACAGCTAGGTCCCATAGTTTCACTGTTGAGGTTCAATGTTAATAGTTTCTTCTCTCACATTTCTTACTTGTTGAACTCTCTCTTAGTTTCTTATTTTCCTGCCAGTCGAGTTCACTACATTCACTTACATGCAAATATCTTGGGAAAGCTGAATCCATCTCTTCTCTCCCCAGCTATATGTTAAATAGCAGAACTTGTATCTGGAAAAATCATTATCTCACAAAAATTTTCAATGCAATATTCACTCACAGAAAAAAGAATTGTTCTTTCAATCCCAAAAGTGTTTTGGCTGTGAATAACCCACAAAAGGTTGATAAGCTGTAAAAATCAACCAATCTTGCTTTCCTGTAAACTCTGAAATTCACAAATTTAAATGTAACATCAATCGTTATCTTCTGTTTCTTTGAATCCTGTTCTTTTATTATTCTTTCTCCTCACTAACGTTTTTTTCAGTTTCTTTCACTCTCAGCAATCACTTGTGTCTCAGTGGCTTCATTGCCTTGTTCAGAGTGAAATGATTAAAAAAAAAAAAGGTTCATATTGGTCTTGTTCTCTTCTTCCTCCACTTCACATGTCATAGCTTTTTAAAAACTTCTGATTCATTTAAACCAGTATTTATATATATATATATATATATATATATATATATATATATATATATATATATATTTAAATGTTATTAGGTGCAGTTCAATTTATAATTACATGAATCGTTCAAATGTAAAACAAATATAGAGGTTTAAATCATTAACCTTATATTTGTTTTTTGTATTTATTCATGAATATATATATATATATATATATGTGTGTGTGTGTATGTGTGCATATAAAATTTCAGAGTATATCTTTTAAAGAGCAATATAAATAAAGACAAAAGGTAAACTTATCTCAGCTGACACACTGTCCTTTTAGGTCTTTATCAACTCTGATAAGTCCTACAGAGGGCAAAATGCATCGGCTAAATATATATATATATAATTGTTAAAGATGACTTACAAGGTAATGAAAAATATTAAAAAACTGTTTAATTTTCTTTTTTTTTTATATATTTAGGCAGCATATCTTCATTCAAACATGTTTCATTGAATAATACAGATATGTCTATTTATTTTTATAATAATCCTTTCTAGTTCTCTAATCAGTTTTTTGATGTTAAGATGAAATTCATCAAGGAAGGAGTTTTTTTTCTACCCAAGTATATAAATATGGATGTTGGATAATGTCATGATTACATGGAAAGTGAACTCAACAAGCCAAGTTCCAGTCAATTTTCTTTCATTCATTTTTTTGCTAATGTCCTTGAAAAAGGCATGAATCCATCTTCCCCCAGTCATTGGTTAAATAGCAGGGCAGACTGGGCTCTCA